ATTTAAAGAAATACTTACTATTAATTTTAACATTTTCAGCCAACTTTTTTTCATACATCCTTTTTGATGTCCTAATTTCCTGTTTCACCAACTTTCTTGATCTTCTATAATCTTCTAAGTCTTCTGTCATATCGGTCAATTTATATTTCTTAAATTTATGATACTTTTCTTTAATTTTATTTCATAAGCTCTTTGTCAGCCAACCTGGTTTTTTACTTGTAGCTACCCTTTCCTTTCTATTAGTTATCTTTACATTGAATATTTAACAATTTACCTTTAAAAATTTTCCACATCCGATCAGTGTCTCCAAATAACTCAGTTGCCCAATTCACAACAGATATAACTCTTGTCACATCCCTTCAAAATTTACTTTTTTGAAATTTGTAACCAAAATATCATTATTCCTTATCTCCATATGCAGCAAAACATTGAACCTAATAGAGCAATGATCACTTGCACCCAGATGTTCCCCAATTTCCACGCTCTCAACTATTTCTGTATTTGAGGTTAACAATAAGTCTAAAATAGCATTGTTTCTAGTTGGTTCCTTGACTAACTGTTGATGAAAGCCATCTTGTCCAGGAAGAGCACTAGATCGAAACATCATCCTCTTAAAATCAAAATATTTTTAAAATGGTGATTGTTTAGCCTATTCTTTAATTTCAAATATTTGGTAAATGCCCTTTACTCATTAGTGCAAAATAATAAATTTGGGTTATCATATATTGGATCATGTTTAATATAGATAGGAATTCACTCACTGGCATGAAGGATCTAGAAACAGTATTGGATCAATCATGCATTCAAAGCACTGCACTATTAATATTAGTAAAGATGATAGATTTTGAAAGTATATTTGTAGACAGAAGTTATTATCTCTTTAGACAAATCACTAGTCAAGCTTCACTTGTAATACTGTATACAGTTTTGGCCTCCTTACCTAAGAAAAAGTACTGACTTATTGAACATGGTTTAGAGAAGGACTGATTCCTGAGATGGAAGGGTTATCTTAGAGGGATAAGTTAAAAATCTCAATTTCTCTTCAAAAAACAAAGAGTAAGCAAGAGGCAATTTTACTGAATCTTATAAGAATATTCAGGATAGATTTATATGATGAAGGTCTTTGTTTTTTCTTTCTGCTATATTCAGAAAATGATAAAATGATTAGACACAAGTTTAAGATTAAGGAACAGACAGGTTAGGATGCAATTAAAACAATTTTATTGTTTTCAACAAGATGTACAACTTATAAAATGAGTCATTAGCAGTATTAGAAGCTAGTTCCATTATTGTGCTAGGTATTTGTCGAGATTTTATTCTCCATGTAAAGTTAAGATGCCTTAGTCTTCTATGTTATCATTAGCCAGATCAATTAATATGTCCACTTCCATCCCTATCTTCTTTGGTTCCTTTTTTAAAGTTTAGTAGCCACCTCTACATAGTTTTTTTCTTTAACAATAAAGCTTTTTTCCTAGTACTTATTTGTTTACTTTTTTATAAGATGGTGTACTTGGGTTACGATGTTATAGAGTATATTCTAAAGATTTATAAATTTTGCATAGAATAGTAATAAAATAGGTAGTAAAAGATTGTGAAGACTGTTTTGCTCTATCAAATGATGATCAAATTACAGTGACTGCAAAAGCTTGGTAGGTACTAGACCTGTTGAAGAAAGATAATTATAAATAAAAATAAGAAATCTTGGTTTTAGCTATTTGCCAGTTTTCAACTTTTGGGATGCTCTGGATAGCTAAAAAGCAGCATATAGTAATATACTGTACACCAGAGATACAGCAACTATGCCAGGTGGCTCTTCATATCTAGCTTCTGATGATCGATACAGAAGAAAATCCAGATGACTTCTGCATTGCTTTAAGTTTAATTTGGGCATCCATGCCATCCCTACATAGAGTGCTCTCGCACTCTCTGGTAAGATGGAGTGATGATTAACAATCACAACATTAAGTAACTCTGTAATACTAACAGTCAAGATACATACTGACAATGACATATAATATAAGATTATAATGTAGTTCAACGCATTTTGAACGTCTAACTCTATGGCACTACAATTGGCCTATCCTAGCTAGCCCAAACATTAGGCTAAGTATTCTTTTTATAATTTATTGTTGTGCCAAAGTATTAATACTATGATACGAATTATACTATTACTATTATCTTCTCCATTCACAATGTAGTGCAAACTGAAAAAGTTTATATGTTATACTTATAGTTACTTAAAGTCAATTAGTTATACATTTTGAGAATAAACGACCTTTGTCAGATTCATTTTATTTTTCTGGAGATGGGGGTCTCTTTATTACTATGTAAAAAATGATTTTTTCCCAGCAAATAGAAATTATAAAGTAACTCACATGAAATACTCTATTTTCTGATATTAAGAATTGCACACGCTCATCATCCTCTTCAGACATGATTGCAGAGCCATTAGCAGTAGTGATCTGAAGTCCAAAATATTTGTGTGTCAAATTCGCAAGTTCAAATAATTGTTTCTGAAAGCGTTGCGCCCCCAAGCAAGGGTATAACTAAACTAACTGAAAATTAATTGTTGGAAATAGTTCAATGTGAAGTTTACAAAACGAAAGAACAAGTCGCGAAACAGAAATTTTTCAGTTTTTTTTTTTTAAGATCTGATCATTTGTGATTATTTTTGTTATATTTATGTCTGCTTTATGACTACAGGAATATTTTATATGAGAAGTAGGGGTTCAATGACAACAGACAACTCAAATGACAGAAAAGCTTCTTTATTTGTGCGTATTACTATTAGTGAATTGATTATTATACAATCGATTATTATAAAATAAAAACTAAGCTTAACCAAAAATATAATTGGAAAAATATCGGCTATATCAGAGTAGGTCTAGCATATGAGTACAAGGTGCGTTTATACCTGTCAAATCTTTTACTGTTGTTGTGATGTACTTCTTTCTTCGCATATTCTTTTTAATTATCTGGTGGTAATAACTCATCATCCAGTCTCTTAAACAAGAACAGTTATTTTTTTCCTTTTAACTTTATTACAAGCTCGATCACTGTTGAGTGATGTAACATGTTGGACTAAGTTTTCAGCCACACACGGTATGGTGTCAATCAGCCAAAACAGCCTGCAGAACTCACTGAGTGTTATTAACAGTAGTGAAAGTGTAGCGATATTCCACTTTCTGTTGCTCGGAGCGTGGTAATCCCAACTATCAAATATTTTTAATTTGATGTGCTCTACTGGACCCTTACTTCACATACCAAATTTCAAGACGATCCATTAAGAAATACACGAGATATAAAAGCTCAAAGTTTGTTTGAATTTTTCCATTTTTTTTCTTCACACCGAAAGTACAGGAACTTTATTTGATAGAAAAACATACTTAACCTTTATGCTTTTTGTTTGTTTGTTTGTTTTCAAATTTAGTACACTGATAGATCTTTATAACCTATAATTAAGTGTCACATTTGGCCTAAATATAAACAACATGTGCAAAGTTATTCAACAAACTCGCTCAAATTTCACCCAAAGTTTGGGGCATGCTCATGCAAAAAGTTACGTGACATTTTTAATTTTTACTGCAGCTTCATCTAAGAGTAAAAGTGAACCGTTTGTAGTTTTTGTCATTCGGATTACAAACGGCTAATTTAGAGCAGCAAAACTATAAGGGGAAAGCACGCGCAAGATACATAAGTATTGGTTAGGCCAAGCAAACTAGATTAGCAGTTTCTAGCTCAAGTTTTGAAAAGCATCATACGGATGGACGGTTATTGTTCATTACCAACATTTAAACATAAATTTACTAAATTTTATGAAATAATAGGATTGCGATCCTAAGTTCATGTTGGTTACTAGTGAATGTCACTTTCTTACTTGCTGTGGTTTGTTGGTATTGTTACGTCTCCGTTTGTTAATTGATTTTTCCGTAACTTCGTTCCAACGAAACTTTAACGACACAAGTCTTTACTTAATAAAACTGGTTTATTCTTTCCGAATATAACTCTGCGATACACTTAATCTCAATACTCGCGCTAAAACAACACTGTAACGAACGAACGTTAACTTCAACAATATCGT